ACCACTTAGTTGATTTCAAAAAAGGATCCATTTAGACAATACAAGCTTTATTACTTTAATTGACATGGAAGTAATGAGTGTACTTCCATCTCTTCTAATGCATCTTTAAGATGTGTGAAGGTGGGCATTGGTGGTTGCCATCAATAGAACCAAATAAGCCTATCCCTATTAAAAAGTGTCTCATTTGGATGTACTAGAAGAGATAATTTGTTACGGTTAATTTGAGTGAGATAAAGTGATAGGCATTGGGTGGTTGTATAACATGATTTGAAATAGATTAAGAAGAGGTAGTGTCAAATGAGTTATGGTTCCTATTTAAATTGAAAAATATGGAATTCTTTTTAAACACTCACTTACATAAGGTTAGAAATAGTGGCTAATTTTATATTTATAGTGCCAAATACAAAGATAAAGTGGATAACGAAGGCCTAACTAAATTACAACACTTAAGGGTTAAGTATAATTAGTTAATTGAAATTATATCTATTACGAAACTAATTCTTGCATATAGTTGTTCGTTGTGAGTTAATGCTATGTGTTTGTTGCTCTTTTTATTGTCTAAGTCTGTTGTTCTTTTTACTTGTCTAGGTTGTTATGCTTAACGAATGTTGTTGACTTGATAGAGAGTAATATAAAAACAATACTCATGTAATTTAAAGGTTTAAATTATTAGGTGATGCATGATTTATATTATTCTCAAATAAGACCCAAAGACTTTGTTCAAGTTAAAAAGACTTTAAAGCCTCCAAAATCCGGTCGTAAAGTCTTAAACATGTTTAGGAGATAAAATCACCAAGGAATTTATGGCATCTTTGCATTTGTCAAATAAAAACTATCTAAGACAATATAGTAAGATTATTTTTTTCTCGTTGTATAAAAACAAATCCCAATTGATCTACTAGCTTTCTTAATCTTTTATGAATTATAAGAGTCTTATAAAAAATAATTCTTAATGCTTGTTTTGTTTGGTTTCTTCATCTCTTTTTTATCCTCTAATTTGTAGATAATTCTAATTTAGCATGGTTCAATGATAGCTTTTTTGTTTTTTTTTCCCCCGATAAGTTGAGATATATTAACAAAACTCTAAAAACAAAGGAAAATTTGAGCAAAGTCCAAAGTACATCAAAGAGGAACTCTATCAAAATCTTCAATCGGACTTGATACAAGAGAAAATAAAACAACTCCTCACCTAAATTGTTTTTTTTTTTTTTCCAAATCATCATAACCATTAATAAACAGAAAAAATGATGAGCCAAATAAATTAACATTATGTGAAAGATATTCCATCTACTATCGGCCTTTGCTAATATAGTTCTTGTTGCTCTAAAAATAAGAAGAAGGACATGTAAAGAACTTCATGAGACTCGTTAAACCTTTAAAGATGATGTGGCTTCTTAATGGTTGTTGATAAGATGAAAATGTTTGAAGATGGATGGTGGGCGTCTTGGATAGAATATTTGAAAAACAAATCCACCTATTTGAATAAAAGATTCTTCAACGATAAAGTTAGTGTAAGAATGAGGAGGAGATTAGCCAAAGAAGGTTATAATATGCAAGTGTGAAGAAGAAGATGAACAATAGTATCAAGAGGAGAGATTTAAAACCCTTAACTTTAGGTATTTTGACTATTTATATATATAAGAGACTCATCAAGTTGCATAAAAAAGAGAGATAGAATGGTTAATTTTTTTTACTGCTAACAACCTCTAATGCAAACTAGAGGAATAAATTTTCTTAGTATTTACATGTCATTGTTGGAAGAGCACATGATGGAGTCATTGTTAGTGTTGATTAGACAAAATTAGCATTAGAAGCATGTCTACATTTATTAGAAGTACTTTTCGTCATTTTTAGTTAGTAGGATTTGGTTTAACTCTCTGAAATATAACCGATCGAACTCCTGTTGCGGGTTGTTCTCTTACGGTGCAAATGCGTTTGCTTGTCTATGGCTCGGACATGTTTCCGTCCCTCAAACTTTTGTCCAGTATGTCATTAGGCAAAAAAAGAAAAAAGAAAAAAAGATTGTATGTACACATGTTATTCATAGTGAAAATTTATAAATCCCATAAACAAAACACGTGTCATCCAAGTATATCATAATAACCTAATACAATAATAATGTCGGTCTACCCTCCCTCTTTGATAAAGAGAACAACGGCCTGATTTGAACTTCAAAGCAAAATCTGAGCTAGAGTGGGAGGACTTGCTGAACTTCCAGATAGATGACCAAGCTTCGAACATCAGATAAAGCTAACAGGCTAATATTCTAGGGCATATTTTTCGTGTCTCGCATCCTGTTTAGAATTTTCAAGCAACACAAAATTACTTTAAGATATCAATGTGGATATATTATATACGATTAGAGTGACATATTTTTACTACAAGCTAATACTTATGCTCCTATGTATTTCGGAACCTATTCTTTGCATCCAAATACTTATTCTATTCTACATTCTTCAAAATATTTATTCTTTTCTACATATATAATATTCTATATGCCTTCATATGATCAATACTACTTTCCTTTGGAAATTTAGTTTGAATGATAAATGAATTGCTCCTCATTTTTTACTTAGGATTCGATTTAGTGTAGATAGTCCGCTTACAACCTCATAAAAAATTAATTTAGTTTCATCACTGGAAAGTTGATTTATTATTAAAAAAAAAATTACTAATTCACAATTGACATGCATAATTGAAAGATGTGAAAAGACTATTTTAATTCAAAAATTTAAATCATTAGCTAATGTTTTAGAAATAATTTTATATTATTTTCTACTATGTTTTTTCAATTAATGCAAGTCATGATCATACCATGTCAAATGACAAATTCAACTTGAAAATGTTAAATATTATGTGAGATTTTAACAATTTTTTTATATTACTCTTTACAATATTATTAATGTTATTACAAATTTCCTCTTAGGAATTACCAGCAAAATTCTTATGGAAAGATATATATATATATATATATATATATAATTCTTAAACACACTAATGCCACTCGATCCTGTACCACAACCCACAGAAGGAAAATTATAAAATGGATGAGATTTATGTGTAGTGGACGAAAATTTTACATTGGACTGGATTTATGTGTCCCGAATTTGCCTTTAAAAAAAAAAAAACCAACAACTTTTTAGCAGTCTATCCATCAGCTCAACATGTGATGAGCTATAATAATAATAATGATGATGATGATCTACCGGTTCTAATCTCTGATGAGAATCTTATGAAAGAGAAATTCTCAGTACTTGCTTTGTTTGGATGTTCATCTTCTTCTAATCCTCCGATTTCAAGGCAATTCTAATTCTGCATGGTTCAAAGATAGCTTTTACTTCACTTGTGCTTCTTCTTTTTTCTTTTCTTTCTTTCTTTCTTTCCTTTTCTTTTTTCCTAAACCAAGGAACTTTCGGACCTCAATCCCTTTTGATGAAAACAAGTTAGAAAAGTAAATCTCGGAATGTATGGTTACTCTTCACACTTTACACACCATGGGAGCAGTACTTGAGTATGCTGCTGCTCCTCTTATCATATGCTCCCCTCTTTTCAAGGTTCTATACAGGATATATATATCGTTTACTATAACTTTTCTAATGAATTTAAGAGGATCATAACGGAGTGGATCGGTCAAGAATGGGGAAATTAAAGAAATGGGAAAGGATATGGGAACCTATTTGTGTGGACTATGGTTGATCAGATAGCAAGGAGAGAGAAAAAAGAGATGAGAAATTTGAGAATGAAAATATGGCTTTCATTTCTATCCTATCAATAGGACGACCTCTAGAACTTTGAAATTACCATTCTTTTCTTGGTTATGCATATCCACAGAACTAAATTTTACATCACCCCTATAATCATTTCGTCCTTTTTTTTTTCCAAGATTAATTTTCGATCCAAAATATTACAAATCAATAGCTTATAATCCCAAATCTAAAAATCTCACAAGGTTAGAAAAAAAGAAAAGAAAAAGCTCTGATAATAACTCAAATTTGTCTTCAATCAACCATCTAGTCCTGCTGCTAGGTTTGTCTCTCCATGTATATATACGTGTGTATATGTAGGCCCATTGCTCAATTCATTTGATACAGTGAATGTCAACATGCCCAAGATTTCTAATGGTTTTCTCAACAAAGAACATGGTCTCTAATTACATAATAGTGGCCCCTCGCTCCCAAAAATTGCTGGTTAAAGAAACCCTAACCCTAGACAAACACTTTAACCATTTGTCAACTTCTACCATAATAGATAGATACTACATATGTAGATGTAGACTTTATATATGATAAGAAATTATTAAGTAAGAACCTAGACAGTGACCTGATACCGTCATGTTTGGTTGTTGGTGATTCTTGATGCTACATAATTAGAATCAATGGGATCATCAATGGAATCCAAATGAATGAACTACAGTAACTCATTAAAATGAATGACTAGCTGAACTCAATAATCAAATACATAAAAAAGACTGCTACCTAATAATTCCAACCAAACTATGTTAAAATTAATGTGAGAAAAATTTTCTATTATCATTCTTTTTATTATTATTATTTATTGAAATTAAGCAATGATAATTAACTTACCTCATACTTAACTTATCTGCCTTGTTTGAAACCTGCTCTGGTAGGGAAAAAAACCCACCATCAACACTTTCCAGACCAAAATCATCAAGAGCAATATAAGCATATATGTTTGAATTCCCCTACTCAATAGCAAAATCAGTTCGATCAAAACATCGATCTAACTTCATCCCAGCCACACAAGCCATAAATTTGCTTAATTCATGAAAAACTATGTTGAGATATATAAGATAAATCTCAACAGAACAAAGTATCCATATATGGAAAAAACCCACAAGAATCTTCCTTCCTAATACTATAATCAATATAAAGCTAAAAAAATTCAAGTCTACTCCCGATCTCTAAACCTTAAAGACTTTTGGGGCACCTATTCATGATCCCTCATCACATCAAACTTGAATAGAGCTGGAATTGAACAAGTTACATCCAGATTCCTTGGTTATTTCTATATGATGAAGAGGATGGTGCATCTTTTTCTTCAGTACTAATATTATTATGGTTAGCAGGCTTCCCTTGATTAGCTCTATCTCCTTCTATTTCCCTATATCTTTGAAGATACCTTCTTAGTGGCCCGGCATAGTCATCGAAACCTAGTGTCCCCATAGCCCAGCAGACATCATCTCCATTCACAGTCTTGCGCCTTTCCTTTCTACACTTCTCGGATGCTTCACTGGTTACAAAGCTAATAAACTCAGAAGCACATTCTTGCATCATTTCCTTGGCTTCTTTGGAGATTTTCGCATTCGATGGCAGAATTTGCTTCATAATCCGGCCAACGTTGGCGATAGGCAACAACCTGTCTTGCTCCTTGACGCCGCCATCATCACTTGAAGCACTAGCACCAACATTATCGACCATGTCTAGCTAGATGCAAAGAATATAGTCCTCCTTTTTCTCCAACCTAGCTGGCTAGACTTTGCCGTTTGGTCGGTCAAAAACTAACTTTTTATATTACATCTACATACGTACATATATAATTACGTAAATACATAGATACCACAAGGGCATGTCGTGTTGTTCAAAATAGCATGTGTAAAGCCAACCAACAGGTCTGAATCAATAGTGGGCTCCAAGCATGCTCGATCAATTCATTGGAGCTTATAATCTTAATTTAACTTAATTTTTGTGATTAAGTCCGCTAATCTATTCTTATTGACAGCAACGCTTGATTGTACTTAATTTGAATTAATATATCAATTAGCATGCAACAGTGGACGCTAGGTGAGTTTAAAACAAATTAGATAATTGTTCACGTTTCACTTCAGATCGAACACAATAGGTGAAATAATTTGAAAAAAAAAATAGTATGAATTAATGGTCTTCGCTATACTATAAATCTACTAACATTACAAGAAAATAGCGTAACAGCCACAGATAATTCCTTTGCTATTTCGACAAAATCTGTCACTTAATCGATTTCGCGACGGATTTGCCATCGAAAAAAATCCATCGTCAAAACTTTTTTCACTAACCTCTGCAATGAAATAAACAGTGTCCGTTGCTAAATTAGCAATGAAAACTTTGTCGTTAAATTGTTTTATTCTATCGCTAAGTTTACACCGAAACAATCGTCTCCCCACTATATCATACGTCACAATTTTGTCGTAAGTGCATCTTAAACCCATTGCTAAATAACGATCAAAAAACCATTGCAATGTTCAGATATTAATGTTGGTCACAATTCCATCACTAGTCCATTGTTAACTAGCGATTGTTCTTTATCATATATGTTTTTTTGAAAGAAATTAAATTTTTATTTTCATTTCCATCACCAATCTTTCGTTAATCTGTTGTGAATTTTTTTGTAATTTTTTTAATTTTAATTTATTTAAATTTTAAAAATTTTGATATTCTCGATAGTAACTAACAATTAAAACAAACAACTTATTATAAAAATTAATTTTTTAATTAAAATTAAAATATCATAAATTAAATTGAAATTCATATTAAAAAAAATTATTCATTAGTACGTAAGAAAAAGAGTAAAAACATAAAAAAAAAAAAATGTAAAAGTCACTCTATATCATGATCATTTAATCCCCTCTCATCTTTTTGGGGCTCGTTGGGAGGGACGGTGGAGTCTTGGGGCTCACTAGAAGGGGTATTAGAGTCGTCGGCGGTAGAGAGGTTAGTAGACAACCGGGATTTCTATGCTAACTTATGTAATGTCGGTGTAATCGACAAAATCTTAGTCTTCATCCTTAGGATCTTCATCTACTCGCTATATGGTAATGTTATTCTGCTCTTCTAACCTCACCTATAATCCTCTCATCCTTTGTTAGTACTAGTTAGGAGTCTAATTAGCAGCATTGTCATTGGAAACTGCGATACTACGGAGGATGAGTTACGCCGACTAAATAGGATAAATACTACGACGCTTCTAACTTGATCCTCTAAACCTTCTTCTTTTTGTCCCCTCCTACACCTTCACGATATACGATGTTCGTGTTGACCTATGGCTCCTTAATTCCGACCACTCACTAATTCCTAATAGTTCCTTATATCAACTCCTCCATATACGCCGCGTAATCAAAACAATTATAACATTAAAAAATAAATTAATTTTTTAAATTATATTTTCATATGTATAATTTAAAAATTAAAAATACTTACTATTATTATATGGCACCACAAATTAAAGAAAGTCTCAACTCTCTACTTATGAGTAGCTCCAAATAATTTTAAATTCGTAGGCTCACGCTCTAATTTGATAGCCTAACAAAATAGACGTAAATAATATATGAGCTACAATATTAATTTCTTAAACATCAAATAATATAGGATATGATTTACTAAGCGATGAGCATACTTAAAAGCAAAGCTGGACCCTCACGTATGCATGGATAGGCCTAAACCAACACCACTAGTTTCTAACATCCAATTACGCGATGCCTACTACAAACACGCATGAGGATCCAATGTGGTAAAATCTCACTTTCAAGAATCCCACACCTCCCGCCTAATAAAAAAGAGGTATTTCATCGTTTGCATCATGTGTGTGGATGAAGTCGAGTTGTGCTTCCTAGCCAAATCCGCCCAAAGATCTCTAAGCATGTACCTTTATGGTCAAATCCTAGTAAAAATACTTCTAGGTTAATAAAAAAAATAGTATTAGTTCATTTTATTTTGAATTAACATTTTAAATGTAATACAAATAAATAAGTAATACATTATCTTAAACTCATTGTAGTAGAATTATTTTATCCGCTTCGAAATGGTTCCACGTCAAGCCATCGACGTCTAACTCGCTTCTTAATAATCATGATTATCCTTTTAGAACAATCTTTTTGACACGGATGAAAACTATCGAACCCCTTAAAAAAAGACATATAGTAATTATTGAAACGGTATGTTACAATAAAAAAATAATTATAATGTTTTTAAGCAAATTACTTACCGACTATTAAAGATCAAAACCCGATGTTGAATATCAAAACCTCAAAAGCTCCTTAGATCAAAAGATACATCAACGGATGACGGACCCTCTATGAGTGGTCAAGGAAGCTCGGAGGTCAAGGAGTCCCTATGGTCGAGAGAATGGTCATAGAGGGAGATGCTACGGTTGATGTAAAACTACTAGCTTCGGGTGAGAAATAAGGCAAATGTCACATGTTATGGGACCCACATAGAGAACCCGAAGAGGGAGGTCTATGTTTGATGTTGCATGGGGAATTATGTTCGCTATTACCGATTGAGGATGAACGTCTACGACTACCGGATCATGATCCCCGAGAGGGTGTGGAAGGTTGGTGCAAACCACGCATCATAGTTGAATAATATCACCTAAGATAATTTTTTTAAAAAATAAGAAATATATATTATCAATTATGAGTAAAAAAAAAAACAAAATTTCAAGAGTCTCCCCTAAAAGTTAGATATTTTTCTAATTACCCGATACATAAACTCGCTTAAAACACAACACAACCAAAATACATAACCAACATTTAGAAAAAATATCAAAGTCAATATGATATACTATAATAAAAAAATAAAAATAAAAAAGCATAATTTCTTACTAATACAACTAATATAATATATTTTTAATTACAACAATCATAATCATTGTTAAGTTTTCATGTCTCTTATCCTATACATATTCATATTCATTCTCTTATTCTTCATAAGCCTTAAATAATTTTATATCTACAAATGATCCACTTGGATCATTTAACAATAGATCATTCTTGACTTCCGTATCAAATCATGTCGATTTTTAAATCATCATGCTAAAATAGTTTAATATTTTGTTAGACTATAATGGATGATTCAAATAACTCAAACACAAACTTAGCTTTGATCTTAAAAACAGGCCACCAATCTTGATTATCACACCTCTTACTATGGTCCTTGACATAATACACCCGAGTCAACTATGATGCTAGGATAAAGAGTTTGTAATTTCTTATCCATGAGTTTGCATTATAGATGAACCTTTATTCCTTGTAGTGTAGGATTAAACCAATTACATTTGAACAACATTGTTCTCTTGATTAGTAATATACGATACATGGAGAATTTCCATCAATATCCCCGTAAGAGTCAATCTTAATTGCATTATAATTAGTTTCTTTAATACACACTACTATTGAAACTCACTATTTCCAAACCTTCCACTAATGTGCGAAACTTATACCTCTTAACAATATAACTTAGGTATGAACTGACGATAAGCAAAGGGCCTTGTGCTAGATCTTTTATGAAATTGCTTTTGTGTATTTTATCTATAAATTCGATATAAACTTCATTAAAGGTAAATTATAATTTAATTAATGCTACCTATTAACAAAACATAAGTTAAATGAGGATAGTCACATATTGACTAAACCAAGAAACAAACTCAATTTCAAGTAGATTATTAATCTCATTCTCGATCATGAAGGGATTATTTTGTCATACTTTAATAATGAATCAATTAACAAAGAGTAATAATATACGAAAGTTAGTGTGTCTATTATGATAGGTAAGTAAATATGTATAATTTTGACATAGAAGTTTGACAAACTTACTCAATATAAGGTTTTACTTTTTTATACTTTAATGATATATATTGATGGGCTACTTTGTGCTTGTCTTTTATCAACATCCATCTTATGTGTCAACCAATTGATCGATCTAATTATTTAAATACGATAGCATCCCTTCAATGTGGTTATTCTTTTCTCCACTACATTCAATGTTATATAGCACTTTTCGATGCCTAATATGCACATGAGGCTCTAAATAGTGCGAACAAAATAAAGAAGTTTTTTCGACCAAATATTCATTGCATATTAATCTTTTCACTTTAATCTTATTCTTGACATTATTTTTTAGCTTCTAAAGGTACCTATAATATAAATTAATTTAATATTCGATAATTATAAGTTCATTTAATTTAACATTAAAATTCAATGTCATTACTTTTCAAACGGATATATCCATCGATATTGCATAGGTCTCATAATAGATACCTCATATGCCAAGTGGATTGAAAGATGTTATATGGAGTCGAAAAAAACTTGAAGGGAATATACGTTTTAGTTTACACAAAATAATGAATATCTCATCATGAAGCCATAGCATATCTTATTTCCTTATCATAGTAGAAGTCAATTACTTGAAGAATAAACTCAACTCGGAACGTGTTTGCCAAATATTTTTAGGCAAAATCTCCCAAAATGTAATAGGAACTAACCTATATATAAAAACATGACAGTCATGACTTTTCATCACATATAGTTTTTCATTCTTCATATCAACACATCGAACTAGGTTGGATACATATCCGTCGAGAAACCTAAGTTGTTTGATCCATTGAGATAGTTTTGTTTTTTGTTATTTAAAAAAAGTAAAAGCAACTTTAGGATACTTTCTAGAGG